TGCTACACTCTCGTTCATTCCTTTTATCCTACCGTCCTCACCCTCCTCTTTACCCCCCTTTTTGTGCTTAGTATTTTGCGTACCTCGCCAAACGACGACGAACATATCGAACCGTTCGTGACGTGCCGTCACCGCCACTCGACGAAGAAATTCTAGACCATCTACAACGCGGCGAACTGCCGCCACCCGATTACGGTTACACCTTGATTAGGGATCGGCAACCTTCGTCAATATCCGGTAGCGCACGCCCACCACGCGTGCATAAGGGCACGATCATCGAACTACACTTAGAAGTGCTCAACGAATGTGAAGTGACCGAATGGCAAAACGTCAAAGACGACTATTTGCACATACTCGTTGAAGAGTTCATGTGGGGCAACAACGGACATAGTAGTTCCTTGGATGCTCCTACCACAAACGAGGGTTTATCAGGGACCAATGTTGCCTCCACCGTGGATCCATCCACTGACTCGGACGCATCTCCACCACATGAAGATGACCCATGGAGTCGTATGCAAACTATACCGTTAGCAACGGACCGTTCTCCACCGAATGAAGACGACCCCGATCCATGGCGTTGTATGGAAACAATACAGTTAGAACCGGATCCTTGTCCCCATAATGAAGATGACCCATGGAGTTGTATGGAAACGATAGAGTTAGCAACGGACCCTTGTCCTCCTAATGAAGAGGACCCCGCTGCGTGCAGTTGTATGCAAACCATACAGTTAGAACCGGACCCTTGTGCACCTCATGCCTGCGATCCATGGAGTTGTATGGAAACTATACAGTTCGCCACGGACCCGTTTCCACCTAACGCAGAGGACCGATGCAATTGTATGGAAACCAGACAGTTAGATGCAGAACAGCGTCGTGCTCATTCCGACCACGGTGACGCGACGTCGGCGTGCACCCAATGGATCCCTTGGATCGAGCGCAACAAACATATTGTGCGGGCGTGCACGACGCAGCCGTGGTTTAATGCCCTCAAATCGGAATGGCAACAATACCTGCGCGAGCACATGGTGGCAACCGCACCATCCGGTGAAGCGGCAACCCTAGAGAGGAAGAAAGATGCATGGAAAGAATGGGTCGCAAAGCAACATCGGCAAATGAGTATGTATAACGCGCAGGAGTGGTTCCAACGTTTGTTGAATACTGTAGAGCATGAGACAGTACCGCAACACGGCCAAGCACCTATAGTGGAAAACGACTTAGAAGTGGAAAAAGTAATGGCAGCAGAACATATACTAAGAGTGCGAGATTTACCACGGACGCCACTGCATCAGCAACCTTACATGCAACAACCGTTAACCGCTCACAAACTGTGCATGCTCATCCTCGCATCCGTAATCGAAGAATGCGAAATCGAGAGTAGCATGCACGAGAAGGAGTTATATTTGGATGACCTATTGCAGAAGCTCTGCAATTAGGATGACGGGCCATATGCATGCAACATAACGCATGCTAACATTAGACCACTTTTACTTCATTACGTGATATACATAATATATTTCGGGTTTACATTATTCTATATATTCTTTTTTTCTTCTGCTCTCTTCTGCTTACTTCTGTTGCTTTCTGTTTCCTTTTGCCTTGTTTTGTTCTTTTTCTGTGTAGTCAACTTTTAACATGACCATAGGAACAGGTGGGTACACGTCACATGCATATAACATGTAGATTTAAATGAATAATATGAAGGGGCAGTATTCTCCTTTATGTGAAGTTAATTATTAACAGCTGCGCACGTGCATTCTACGGGTATGGTGTAGAACTAATATAGAACGCGCATACGCATTCCAGTATAAGGTGATCGTCTCCGCGCAAACGTGGCCGCGTAAACCGCATTGTAGCCGAGTGTAAGAACAAGGGGATTGTTTCTCCGAGCAAACGCGTCGACCAACGCGGTCGGGTAAAGCAGATTGTCCGAGTAAGGGTTTCGAGGGACGGATTCGCGTGAGGGAGCAGGCTGAGGGCGACGGGGACGAAGGAACACACATATTATGTGGGGGAGCACGAACGACCGGAGCAAGGCCACAACGACGGCAGACGAATTGATGTTGTTGTTATACTGCGGTTTGGTTGTGTACGCACACAGAGACAGTGTGTGTGACAGGCGTTTCGTGGAGACCGGTGTAGAAAGGGGGCAGGCGGGTGTATATTCATGACGCGTTGCGTGTACGGTAGTGTAGTGTAACTTTTTCAATTTTTTTCTTGCCCTTGTTTGTTTTTTATTTTTTTTATTTTTATTCTTTTCTCTTTTCTTTTTGTTCTTCTTACATATGTCTTATTTCCCACTTTTCCTGTCATGTATAATTATGTGTATTACCTAATATAGAATGGGCATTTATATAGGCAACATTTTGTTAAAGCTTAATATGTATTAAGGGAAAGAATAGAAAGGTCTGCCTTCTCCGGTTGTATTATAACACTATATTTTACAAGTGTCCCCGGAGCTCCTACCTGTTGTCAAGCACATAGGTAAATCATTCTGTGCGGAAGCCAGGCACACGTAGTATGTGGCCACGACAGGAACCATCGGAATAGGCACTTCAGGATTTCTACAGCATTAAGGGCACGCATGAACACCTTAATAACAGGTTCCGGAATTTTTCTGCTGAAGACGACTGAAAAATGGGTGCGCACGACGGGAAATATAAGTCTGTGGAGGCATTTATTACACATGTATTGGCCACATGGGCCACGGGGGAGGCCAGGTTTACTCAGGACAAGTTTGATGTAAGTAATGCAGGATGTATAATTTCAACGAGATACTCGAAAATGCATAAGACCGGATAATTCAGAATGATTATATGTCCAGCAACGTAGTATGCAAAATATAAATGTGCATGTTTATTTTTTTCTTAATATGTACAATAGAGTGGATTATGGGGAAGGATGAAAGCACTACTGGACGAGTTTGTGGCCCATATGAAGTACACAATAGACGATGAACTCCTCGATGCATTCGGGACCAACTGTGAGAATGCGGGTTGGGACTATGAGGACAACAGTAACATCCTATACAAGGGCTTCTCCACGGGGGATGTTATGAAATGTAAACTGATGTCAGCAGCATTGGTCTTCATGAATACGGTGAGAATTGGCAAGAATGCACACAGCGACAGGAGTCCGAATGATCAGGATATGAGGGAAATTTTAGGGTGTGTAGTGGTAAATATGTATATGAACATATTGAGAAATGCCAAATGCGGGCATAAGTGGAAAGGAATACATTATGCGTGGAAGGTGGCCAAAAAAATGGGAAATGACGAAGGAGGTGCAGCATTCAGAAGTGCAATTACACACGGAACGTGTTCTAGGGATGGATGGCGCTACCTGAACATAGGAAAAAAGGACATTCGGAGCGCTGTGGATGCATGGTTAAGGAATAATGAACACATAATGGCGGAAATACAGAAAGCTGAGGCAAGCGCAGAATGTAACAAA